TGGGAAGGACCCCCCCCTCCGGCTCACCTGCCTCCATCGCGGCCGCCCCGCCAGGTGAGTCCAGCCGCGCGCGCAGAACCCGCCACCCACCCGGCGTTCCAAAGGGGCGTGGCCCGCCCCGTTCGCTCCACCCAATCGCGCGTCCCCATCCGCCCTCTCGCGGGCGGCGTCGCCTCAGTCACCCCGGCGCGCCTCGCCCAATCAGGAGCGAGCACGAGGCGGAGGCGGCGGCGGCGACGGCTCGGGCGAAGGGACAAACTTGGCGAGCTCGGATTCGGCCTTCGCTTCCCTCCAGAGGGACCAGGCATGGCTGCGGGGGCTCTTTGCGCCCGGCGCTGCCTGGGCAGGATCAGGACCCCTCCGTGGGCCGTTTGGAAGGCCAGGATGAGCCAGGATCGGGCCGAGCCGCCCAAGGGAGTCTCCCCCAGCAGGTCTGCGCATGCCCAGGCTTGAAAAGAGGGGTCATTAAGGAAAGCGAGGGGCTAAATGGCGTTTAAACGTCTGGGTGGGAAATAAAAAATGAAAGTGCAATGTTGACATTTGCAAAGTCTGGGTGGAAAAATAAATAAATAAATAAAAGTGTCACATTCAATGGATGCAAAGTTTAAGAATGAGCCCTAGCTGCACATTGCAACTTAACAAAAGATGCATGATTTTTGTGCAAAGCCCGGGTCCCTTTAGCAGGAAGATGGGAGAGGGAGGAAAGGATCACAAAACCCATTTGTTGAGGTGGAAGGGGGTCCCTCCCTGTGCCCCCTGCCCTGCCCTCGCCTCTTCAGTAAAAGCAGCACCCACAGAATATCCTCAATATATCGCTTGCTTTCTCTTTCTTTACTTGCTTTGTGGGGCTGGTGTTCCAAAGATGGTGAGGCGAACAAGTTAATTAATCATCCGTAGGAGAATTGCAGGAGGAAAAGGCAAAAGTTTATTTATTTATTTATTTATTGAGATCTTTTTTTCCCCTTGGATTAACGCTCTGTGTTCCTTCTGCAGCGAAGAAAAGGCAAAAGTTTATTTATATATTTATTGAGATCTTTTTTTCCCCTTTGATTAACGCTCTGTGTTCCTTCTGCAGCGAGAAGGAATCCAGGCGGTTCCCAAAGATCTACACGAAAACCGGAGATAAAGGTAAGAGTCGCGGAAGCCGAAGCATTCATTACGCGGGCCCTGCAAGATCTTGGGAGTCTCGCCAGAGCTGCTTTTGTGAGATCCTCGCCCTACAAAACCCACCCAACCTTTTAAAATCCTTACCGAAGAAGCCACAGAGACGTGGTGTATCTGGTCTGGATCACGGTCAACGGCCAGGAAAAGAAAATTATGGAAAACTTTTCAAACAGAACGCCCTTAAAATGCAGCTTTTCTCCAAGACAATTAGGGGTGGTGGTATTTTAACGTATCGGTCCAATGAAAATCTTTAGCAATTTAGAGGATGAGGCTTATGATGACGAGCAAGGGACATGGATATGTGGTTGGGAATTATTCAGGTTTTTTTTTTCTCTCTCCCCTTTTGCCTTTTAAAGGGTTTTCCAGCACCTTCACTGGTGAGAGGAGAGCGAAGGATGACGAGATTTTCCAGGCCCTGGGGACGCTGGACGAACTGAACTCAGCCGTAGGGTAACCGACCGAGCCGTGGTTTCCCCCCGTGGGTCAGAATGTCTCTGAGGAATTCAGCCTTACGAGACCCTTTCCTCCAGGATCACGGCTACCCTTCTTCAAGGAGAACAATGGGTTCACGCCACTGGTTTCAGACGGGTTCCCGTTTGAACAGTGGGTTCGCGCCACTGGTTTCAGACGGGTTCCCGTTTGCCCAGCCCTGCTGGAGGCGAATCGCCACTGGAGCCCAGCGGCCCGTTACTCCCTGAGATGAAATACCTTCTCTTTTGTTTCAGATTATGTGCAGAGTTTGGGGAGGAGAGTGGCCACACTTTCATGGAGGAACTTCACAGGGTAAGACCGAAACTTGGGTCCCCAACGCACAGATCCCAGACAGGAGCGGATCCCAGGCGGTCCCGTACATGTGCTGCTTTCGCTTTTGCTTCTTTGTAGGTCCAGTGTGTTCTGCAAGATGCCGGTGCTAACGTGGCAACGCCCGTCTCCTCCGCCAGGGAATCTCACTTAAGTAATTAAAAATGCACCATCGACACACACACATCCCCTTTTTTTAAAAAGCCCTCCAGGATCACTTTGCCAGCATGAATCCTGAGATACACATGGACCCAGGAAATGCCCTAAGCATGGCCATGTTTTTTATGCAGATCAATTAATGCATTAAATGTGCATCACACTTTTCTTCTGTGGAACACGAGTCACGCCGTCCGCTGGGCAGGGTCCGAGCAGAACCCGACGGGTTGACTTTGGGCCAGATTGCGGCACTTGGAGGCTTTCAAACGGCAGGCCCATAAATGTGTGCTTCTTGCTTGTGGGTGGCTCAGGGGTGGGGTGGCTAGAAACAATCTGTGCATGCTCAGAGAGGCCCTTTTCAGAGCCGAGCGTTGGAACGCAAGCGGGAGACCCACACAGGGCTCGGCCTGCATCGTCTCTGGCAGCATGGCCCGCTCCTCCGTGCCTCCAAGCCCACAGCAAGAGGAGAAAAGCCGCACGCTCCTCTGCTCGCTACTTGACAACTCCAACTTTTCTCAACCAGGTCCTCTCTTTCTCCGCAGGACGGACGACGTTCAGCGAGCAGCCCGTTCTGGAGCTTGAAGCCTGGATTGACAGATACACGGACCAGCTCCCTCCCCTCCGAGCTTTCATTTTGCCCGTACGTGGTCTCTGGGGGTGGGGGGTGGGGGCTGGCACCTTCTTCCCAACGACGCGGCCGGTTCTCCCTGTTTTCCTCCTGGCCTCCCTTTGCCAAGTTCTGAAGCGCCTTCTCAAGAGTACCGTTCCTGGTGGTTGGCGATGAACCCCCAAATATCCAGGTGGTTTCTTGGGTTGCTCCCCAAAACTCCACCTTCGGGCCGAAAGAGGTCCCCTCCCCTCGGGTGGGGGGCGGGAGGACACTTCCCCAGACACGCACGAGTCGGTTTTGTACGAGCCATGGTGTCTCTCGTTTCAGTCTGGGGGCAAAAGCAGTGCCACGCTTCACCTGACCCGAGCCATCTGTCGCAGAGCCGAAAGATGGTAAGTGGGACCCCCCCCACCTCACCCCACCCTGGGAGAGGTCAAGAGCTGACTCTGAGACACCAGACTCTCCCTGCAGCCCCGATGTTGACTTTGAGAAAATGATGGTGGGCTTGAGGTTAAAATAATAATAATATTGCACAAGATGTGGTTTGAAAACTGTCGCACATCCTCCTGGCGGCTAAGTGACTCTGGGCTGTGTGTATTGGGGGGGGGCAAAACAGCACCTGCTTGGGTCGGCCAGGGTTTATGCACCCGGTACTTTCTCCTAGAAGACCTTCCGAATCCTGCACAATCTGGGCAGAGAGCCGTCTCATGCGTGAAGCACAGGTGGGCTTAAAGTGCCCAGAGGCCGGCCAAGTTGCTGGACAGAGAGAAGGGGTCTTGGTGGTCTAAGCCCCCAGGCGTTGATACAGCCAAAACGCCCTTTGCTTCGTGGGTGCTGTGCAAGCCAAGCGTTTGCCCCTCGTGAACGTGTGGGGCTAGCATGAAGAGGGTGACCTCGGCCTGTGTGTTTCCTTCCCCTCCCCCCCGCAGTGTTGTCCCGTTGGTGAAAGCAGGAGAAGCAGATGCGAATGTGGCCAAATATTTGAACAGGTACAGTGGAATTGCACGCAGGACAAGGACCAAGCCTGCTTGTCCTGGACCGACCTCCTCTGATCAGCTCGTGCAACGGAAGCCCAGATGCGGCTGGTTTTCTCTTTTACTGATTTCCCAGTAAGGCCCCCAATGCGGTCACCACTGCCCTGAGCTTGGGGGGTGGGGTGGGGGGGTGTTCTTTCTCAGGGCAAACCCTCTCCCGCCGCCACCTTCCACCTGTCCCTCTTGCACACAGAGAGGTGGGGGGGGGCTTCTAACCTTTTCCCTGGTCCTCCCGTTTCCAGATTAAGCGACTACCTCTTCGTCCTGGCCCGTCACGCGGCCCACAAAGAAGGGAAGAAAGAGATGATCTACGTGAGGCCAGACGTGTAAGAAGGGACGCCCTGGAAGGCCAAAAGCGGTACGGAGCTACGGGGCACACCTTCGACCATCGTGGGAGGTCTTCGGGGAGGGGACCATGCGAAGCGTTCAGCTTCAGGGGCTCAGCCCCTTTCCCTGTAACTCCACCTTAATTAAAAGAACCCCGAACAATTGACATTGAGGGCTAAAACAGACAAGATGGAACAGTTTGCCGTTAGAAGCAGAGCTGGCTTGAACAGGAAAAGGCATAGGATTAACCCGCCTCTTTCATAGTTTGTACACGTCAGTAAGTTGGGTTTGCTTCTGTTTGCCGCCGGGCTGTGGCTAACTGTTTGCGTGTTGATCCGGTGCACATGGCGCCTAGGCATCTCTCATGTGTAACCTTCCTGACCCTGATTCCTCTCACACGAGTGCGACAACCCCCCCCCCCAAAGAAGCATTAACAATCATTCTTAAAAGAAGCCTTTGCATCGGTTTCTCTCTGCTAAGATTAAGAACCAGGGTGCATCGGGGCCAAAGGATGGGCGGGTGTCGCAGGCCTCCAGAATTAGAAAACGAGCCAGGATCTGCTCCAGAGGTGGCCGGAGGGGGAAATCTCTGGCCTGGGACCCCTCGGCGACTTCCCACGCAGGGGTTCGTCCCGGGACCACCCAACGTGCCTTTCCCTGAACGCCACTCGCGGCTTGCTGGGAGAGCTCACAGGGCGCCCGAGGAGATGAGTGGATTCCTGATGGTCAGGGGTCGGTCCAAAATGGTCTGAGAAGCCCCTCTATTGTTCGTGGCTGAATCTGGGAAAGGATGAAACCTTCTGGTGCAAAACAAAAAAATCTGGGCCCTCCCAGGAGAGGAGGGCAGGCAATGGAATTCCCAGGACACCAAGGTCGTGTTCACCACACTTTATAGCGTTTTCTGAGAGAGAGAGAGAGCAAGTTTGGGGGCTTTGTGACGAAAGCGTTGTGGACGCTAGGGACCCCCTTTCTTTGGAGGCAAACCAGGCACCCCCCGTCCTTTGTCCTGAGGAAAACGGTCAGCCCGGCTGGCGGCCACAAGCCGAGGCCTTGGGCCCCCAGTCCACGGGAGGGCTTGGCTCCAGGATCCGTGGCAGGAAAAACACAGCAAATTCCCACTCCTTCACCAAACGAAAAAATGCCTGTGAGGCTGTTACTGGGGGGGGAGCTCCCCCCCAAAAGGACCGCCCCACCCGTGGGCTCCTCAGTTGCTCGTGGGGCTCTTGAGAAGAAGGAGTGTCCCCCGTTCAGGGAGATGTTCGGAGCAACGCGCTCCCCGGCGCCACGCTGGACTTCCCAGGGCTTGCTCCCGAGGCGACCTCTAACCGCAGACCGGCTGCTGTTCAAAGAACGGGAGCGTCTGGCCGCTGCCGCCTGGGTGGGCTCCTCTCCCACAGCAGTTTGCGCCCCTTCCCTTCGTGGGGGGCTCCCCCTCTCCCCAGCCTCTTTCTGCCGCCAAAGCTCCCGGAAAGCCCTGCCCGGCCGGCGGGACGAAAGGGCAGGCGCCGGGGGTTCCCGCCGGGAGCGCCGAGGCCAGGCCGGGGGAGGGGCTACGAGAGCTCGAAGCCGGTGTTCATGCTGATGGCGTAGCGCAGCTTCTCCCGCAGGACCCCTTTCTTGCTGTAGTTGGGAAGCTTCAGGGAGAGGGGCTACGAGAGCTCGAAGCCGGTGTTCATGCTGATGGCGTAGCGCAGCTTCTCCCGCAGGACCCCTTTCTTGCTGTAGTTGGGAAGCTTCAGGAGGTTGAAGCAGGTGGAGGAGGTGGGGAGGCGCCCACCGGGCTCCTTCTTCCTGATGGTGAAGAAGCCTCTCAGGACGCTGCCCAGGGTGTCCCCCGTGTCCTGGGGGGGGAGAGAACCAGAGGGACCGGGGGGTTACAAGACGGGCGGGGTGGGGGGATTCGGGGTCATGCAGAACCCAAGACGTGTTGGCTTCCTGGCCTTGGCCAGCTGGGATGGGGCCCCTCGGAAGTGGATCCGGCGCCCCTGACTCCCAAAGAAACACCACTCCGGGCATCGCGACCCCCCGAGGGGCGCAGTAGCCCTCGCCCGTTCCAGGCGGCCACGCACCTGATCGTCTGAGACCTCCACGCAGCGGATGGAGAAGGGAGGCTTGAGGTAGGCGAAGCCCAAGAGGGGCGGCCGGGAGCAGCTGGTCACAAACTGGACGTCAGAAAGGAGAGGTGGATTCGGTTCGGGAGAGGATCCCGCCGGATCATCCAAGATCATTCCCCCAACGGGAAGGCAACCGGAGCATGGAAGGGGAAAGAGCTGTTGATACGCAGCCTAGCGACCTGTCTCTACTGAATGACCCTCTCTGAGTAATGAAGGTGGGAGGCGCTCCCATTCCAAGAGGAATGGAAAGAGAGTAGGAATGACTCTTAGGTCTCTCTCTCTCTCTCTCTCTCTCTCTCGCACACATATATACACACCTTGGCCCAGTGTTGTCAGCACTGGCTGGCAGCCACCACGGCTCCCCAGGGCCTCTGGCAGGATTCTCTCTCGGAACCCAGGCAGGGCTTGGGGGGCTCCTTTTCTGCCCTGACCCTCCTGAGCTTCCAAAATCAGAGGCGATCCCATTGGGATGGAGGACAGAGACATTGCTCGTTCGTAGGTAGTCCATACGCGTTCTTGGGGGGGCAGGGGGACGGGACACACACCCTTACGCGCACAGAGGAGCCACGAACCGCCCGAGTGGCCCTTCTCACCTTGAGGAACATGGCCCTTTCGTCCGCGCTGAAGTCGTTGGCCAGGATGTCCCACAGCCAAATGATCACCCGGTGGCTGCCATGAAATCCCCCGTAATACACGGTGTGTTTCCTGAAAGAGGAGAGACAGGGGAATCACCAGAAGCCTTCGAGACACACACACACACCTACACACACACAANGAAGCCTTCGAGACACACCCCCTACACACACACACACCTTCGGTTCAAAGCAAGTGGAAGGAGGCCCACCCCCTGTCTCTACCCCCCCTCCCTCCTTACTTCAAGTCTTCCAGGTCGATCTCCGCGTTGTCGCCCGAGATCAGCCGCTGCAGCTCGGGCGCGGAGAACATGTGGATCCACTCCGGCCGGATGATGGAGCGGAAGCCACCGATGAAGGCGGCCGCCTGGCTCTTGATCTGGGTGTGCATGCGGAAGTGGGCCATCAGGTGGATGTAGCTGATCCTGCCAAAGGGGGGAGAGGAAGCGGCCGCGAGGCAGGGGGAGAGTTGAGGCGACCCACCGCGCAAACCCTCTCTCCTCCTCTTCCCCCACCCCACGCTGTCAGCCTCGTTCGTCTTTAAGAGTCTCGTAGGAAGTCCCTGTGCAGTTCCAGGCAGGGGATGCCCCCTCTTGCCTCCTCATTCTCCTGTTTTTCAAACCTTATTGGTTTTCTTGGGAGACTAAGCGACCACTTTCTACATCCGCGTGGACGCGATCCACCCCTTCGGGCCACCCGTTTTGAGGGATGGCTGAGCCATAAAACATCCCACTGTCAGCTAAGTTTGGAACAGAGAAACGAGGACGCCCGACTTCAGAGCTGCAGAAGAAAAGAACACGGGGCAACACTTACTTGTTTTCATTCGTGACCGGGATGGTCTTCCCTCCAGGCACAAGTTCGTGGCAAACCAGCTGGTGCGAAAGGGAGGGGAAAAAAGGAGAAAAAGAAGCAACTCAACGCGTGGCCTTTGGGGTCGCCAAGGATTCCCTTCACCCTCCAAAAGACGGGTCACGTCTTCTCCCATCTGGGCAGCAAAAGGGGGGGATGACAAAGATTCCGGGGGATCCCTCACCTGGCCCATCACGTCCTCATCATAGGAGAGAGTCAGGCCCAGATCACCGATATCGCCGTCGTAACGCTGAGAAGGGGAAAGCCGGGGTCATCAGGGGTAAAAATCAGGGGATCCACCCTCAGAATCCTAGAATCATGGAGCCGGAAGGGACCTCGAAGGCCATCCAGTCCAACCCCACCCCCCTATTCGAGGCAGGAATCCAGATCCAAGCAGATCGGCCAGAGGGTGGTCTAAAGTAGTTCTTCTGAAGGCTTCAGCGCTGGAGCGCTCACCACCTCTCGTACTGCTCTAACAGTGAGGAAGTGTTTTTTTCTGATATTCAACCCAAATGTGGCTTCCTGTCACTTGAGCCCATTATCATGACCCACAGAAATTAAAATTCTAAAAGTTTCAATCCCGGCACAACATCTGCATTCAGAATGATGCATTTCCAACGTGGTGTTCAAGCGGTCTCCTTGCGCCCACCCACGGCCACCAGGAAGGGCCCTTCCGGCTGAGGGCAGAGCGACAACGGTCTCGTCTCCCCACCCTTCCCGCCCCGCCAGAGAGAGCTTGTGGGACCGAACCTTGATGGAGGTCAGGTTTTTATAGAACTCCGAATCCAGCGAAGGGAGCTCGTCCACGGAGCTGTAGAAGATGCTGTGGTGGTGGCCCAACAACTGACTCAGGAAGAAAGAGGCGAAAGGGACGTCCACCACAATTCCCTGTGAGGCGAGGGAAGGGATACAGTAGAAAGAGGAAAGGGGCTTCACATGCACGCATGCACACCTGTTATCACGATCTGAGCGCTGGGGAGAGACCTTTGCAAAATCCTTCCCAAGCCACCTTCTCGAAAGGCCCACCTGTGAACTTCTGCCAGGCTCCCGGCCACTCTGGACGCCCACTGCTTCCTCTCCACCTTTCTGCCCCACCCCAACCGCTGCCAGCTTACAGAAAATAAGAGGTTTGCCGGTCTTTGTGGTTTTGGGACAACCTGGAGAATTTGGGGCGCCGGAGTGCAAAAAAAACCACAGCTCAGCCAATTTCTCTGAACTGATGGGAGGGTCTGGGGGCTGCCATACCTCCTCTGCCTGATCTACCTCACAGGGCTGTTGTGAAGAGAGACACGGATACCACCTCCAGCTCGTGGAAGGAAGAAGGGTGGGTAAAAAACTATGAGAGACACAGAGAGAGAGAGAGAGAGAGAGAGAACCCTTGCCCTGAGGGGTTCATTCTGTTCTTACTTCGTAGACCGCTTTCCCGAGCATCTTCCCAACAAACTCAAAGAGCTGGAGGTAGTTCTCGTGGATGTACGACGTCGGGGACGGATACAGCCTCTCGTCGCCACTGGTGGTCTGAAAAACAACAGAGCAGCAGATATATGAGAGAGAGAAAGCGTCAACCGCCGCCCAGTCCTCAGCTGACCATTCCAAACCCGTCTGCCCCATCGGGCCAGGGTCAGGGCGTGGGCCCAAGGGGGGCCGATACCTTGAACAGGTTGAGGGCAGGGTCAAAGACCTTCTTGATGATCTCCTCCAGGAATTCTTTGAAGACCCCGTCCTGGTCGATGCCGGCCTCATCCACTCCCAGGTCATTCACAAACTTCACCCGGATGACCCCCTTCATGGCGTTCTGGGACAGCTGGCGCAGCTGTTCGTACCCGTCCTGGGAGAGAAGGGGGGGGAAACGCGGCAACAGGGAGCCGGTCAGAAGACCCGTGTGTCTGTCTGTCTGTCCGTGGGTGTGCTGAAAGGCCTCGCGAACAGGAGGGGACTCCCTGCTGGGGACTCCCTCTCGCTTCCTCAGTCTGGGAAAGGCGGGTGGGTGAAAAGGCCCCCGTTCCGCCCACCGACAACCCTGGAGCCCAAACCCTGTTGAATCCTGGCTGCACGACGAAACCCCCGTCTCCTGAATCCCTTGCTTCAGGTACTAAAGTGCTGGGTTTTTAGCAAATCGAAATGGAAGGGGATCGGCAGAAATCGGACCCTCAAAGGAGCTGCCCTTTATCCTTCGTCATCACTACACGAAGCTCAGCTCGCTCACCTCCAGCATGCGCGACCGTCGGATGGTGATGTGGGTCACGTGAGGCGAGGCTGAGCTGGTCTCCACAAGCCCCAACTTCTCCTTCTCCTTGGTCACCATGTTCCGGAAAAGAAGAACCCTCTGCGTTCCCCCCCCCGGGGAAAAAAAGGGGAAGAAGAAAATTCTCAACCTCCACGACAAGGTTCTGGGTTCGAACCGCAGAGGATTGTCAAGAACCGTTCGATAAAAGTGGCTTTCTTGGAAGGCTCTCCCGTCCCTGGAGGTTCACCAAAGCCTGAGCCCGAAGCTTAGCCTCTTAAGTCAGATATTCAGCCACTGCTTTTTTAGTGCCTGTCGCTGTAGAATCGGAATCATTTTCTTGGGATTCCGGTAGGAATCCCGCTGTTAGCTGCCCGTTCCCTGTGGCCCGCCCTCCCGGCTTTGGTTTCCACTCACATTTTTGTGGGGGATGATGTGGGGAATGTACTGCAAGATAAAATGGGCTCGCTTCCGGTCTTTATCGAGTTCCTGGAAGAGCAAGCTGGGCTTGAGATCCCTTTAAAAAAAGAAGAAAATAAAGAGTGAAAATAACCAGAGGTCAGAAGAAGAGGGTTTGCCAGGAAAGTTGGACCTCTGTGGCTAAGAGGAGAGATGCTTGGCTGTTTTGCAGAACAGCGACCCCCAAGCAGAACCAGGATCCCGGGGTGTGGGGTGGAAGGCTGGGGATCCGAGGCCCTTCTTTGGTCTTCACATCCCTCTGTGCGAAAAGGAGAGGGCCACAGGTGACCTTGAAGAATCGCGGTGGAAGCCCAAAGGGGCGAACCGAACGCACCGGCGACACAGGCTTGGAAGAGAACCGTCTCCGGTTCAAGGAGAAAGAGAGGAAAGGGAGACTGGAAGGGAAGGAGGGGGTCTCAGTGCGGAAAAGTAACTTTCTCCTACCACCACGTTTTTGGTTAGGGAAAGCCTCCGCGGAGCCGCCGCCTTTGAAGGGGCTCTTACTTGCGCAACCAGTGCTCGTCCGGAGCAAAGCGCCGCCGGCAGTCCCGTTCGTACAAAATCATCAGCCAGCCGTGGACCGAGTGGAAGAGCTCCAGAGTCTCGCCTTTCGCGCTCTCTGCGGGGAGAGAAAAAGAGAAGAAGAAAAAAACACGCACGTCCGGTTCACAAAGCGAATTGCAGCAGCGCAGCCGGGAGGGCCAAAGGGTTCTCTTCCGGCGTGAGCAGAGGACGGGGCAAAGTCCGGCAGGAAAAGCCAGGCCTGCCCTCCACGACCTCCTCCGGTCCCGACTTACCAACAATTCCATCCCAGATCATCTTAAACACGAAGGAGTTCAGGAAAGAGGAGATGGTCACCAGCTCTTCCAGTTTGAACGAGATCTGCTCCTCGTAGACTTCGATGTCGTCGAGGATCCTAGCAAGGAGAACGGGGAAGAGGAAAAGGGACCGGCTTGCCTTGTCTTCCCACCAGGAAGAGAAACCCCACACCTTTCCAAACGCAGGGGTTCTTCCCCCCCCCACATACACACAGACATGCACGCACGCTGCGCCCCGACAGCCCCGCTGGGGAGTGACCTACGTGACGAGGTGGCGAGAGCAGTCGCAGAAGAGCGTCAGCATGGCCAGGAGGCGCTTGGACTCCTCCGTCTCGTTGCTCAAACACTCCAGGAAGAGTTTCAGGCCCCCCTGGGGGCCGAGCTCACAGATGAAGGCCCACAGCTTGGGGAGGAGGTCGTCCAGGTAAGTCAGACCTACAGCAAAGGAAGAAATGGGGGCCAAGAATCAGAAAGTGCCGAGCCAAACGACACGCACCCCCAAACCCCAGCTTCTAGAGAAGCTTCTAGCATTGCAGGTGGAAGACAGCAGGAAAAGAGGAAGGTCAACGACAGGACGGACCGACTCCCTAAAGGAAAACCACAAGCTTGACTTCGTAAGAGCTGAGCTGGGCAGTCGAGAAGAGCATCTTTTGGAGATCCTTCATCTTAAGGTTGCCGTATGTCAGAGGCCACCTTCATGGCACAAAACAAAGGGTAGCAGCACCACACAGAGAAAGCGACCCTGTTGCTGATCAGTTCTGCACGATCGGAGAGAAAGACGGTTTATGGAGGGGAGGAAGGAGCGGCCCTTGAAGGCCGAAGCCGGAAACAGGAGCCCAGGCCAGGCGAAGAAGGGGAGGCCGAAACCCACCCGTCAGGATTTGCAGCCGAATCTGCGTCAGCGTGGTGAGCGCCATCTGGTAGAGGACGCAGACGCTGCAGACCTTCTGGACCTCGGCCGAATCCACCCGCTTGCCGCCAACGGGCTTGAGGATCTTCCGGACGGACGCAGACTTCTGGAAGGCCCGCTTGAAAAGGTCTGGCATGAAACAGAGAGGACATCACCCCGAGCCGCTCTGACCCAGGACACCTGAAACTCTTTTTTCAGACTACGAAACTCGTTAAGAGGTCGCCAGGCTGGCTGGGGGATGCTATTTTTTTTTTTTAAGCTAACTTTTTAAAGTGGTGAAACTTGCAAAAGTTATAGCACACACAGCCGAAACTGGATTGCAAATTCTGGCAGGGTAGGGCTGCCGTGGTCTGATATCGAGAACCCTTTCACGGGTGCAAAAGATCACCGAATCATGCAAAAAACGGCAGCTGGAAGTGGGTGGAATTGCATTTCTGGTTTTGAAAAACCTGCAGGGCGGGGGAGGGGGGACCCTGTGACCTATTTTTAAATTTGGGGGGGGGTTTGCAGGGAAGGATCCCAATTTCTGCAGGATAACCCAGCAATCCAGCCTGGGGGAAGTGGGAGAGTGAGTGGGGGGGGTTGGTT